TATCCGTTCGGCAAAACGTCCGTTCGGCAAAATGACCGTCGGCAAAATGTCCGTTCGGCAAAATGTCTTTCGGCAAAGTGTCTTTCGGCAAAATGTCCGGGTACCGGAAATCTGTCTGTGTTAAATGTAAAAGGGCTAGATCCCTTGATGGTGTTTTAAACTGTTGTTAGTTGTCAGTTTAGCCGTTTTGTAATTGTGTTTTTCTACTTTGTCTGTTTCGTTAATCAATTATTTGAACGTAATTTTTATGTAAATATTAAGGGATCGCCGTAATTGGGGGAACCTGTGGCGAACTCCCTGGCACTACATTGTTGTATTTTTAGGTAGTTGCCGAATCTTATTAAAACATTAAAATATTAAAACATTAAGAATACATGTATTTAAATTGCCGCTTGCTATAAAATTACATACCGCTGGCTCAACTTACACATGGATAACTGAGTTATGTGTAGGTTGCGTGATTGCCATATTTAGCTGTAAGCTGTTAACCAAACAAAACGCATGCAGCGACTACAATGTATAATAATATGATAACGCTATTATATCTACAGGGTGTATAAAAAAACTGAACCCTTTCAAATTCAAATTGGCTATAACGTATTGTAGTAATTTGACAACTCTAATTGCCTTGAATTAATGGTCGGGTAAGAACACAAGGAATACTGTATTTCTTTTAAATTTTCTAATTTTTATTTCTTTGAGTTTTGTCCCATGAGTACAAGACCTAGTGTTCTCATACATCATTAGATATTCATAGCATTTCGGCCAATGACATGGTTTAATTTACATCACGTGTATCTATCTGGATATCCCGTCTAGACCAGGACTTTAATTACTTCAAGTGGGAAGGGCTTTGAACAATAGGGAAATTGAAGGGTAAACAAAAGATTATGCAAATATATTTAATTGCTATGTTTAGAATTATTTCTAAATACAGTAAGTTGCATTTAGAAATTTATTCTAACTACACTTTATAGCTAACACTTTTCCTGAACGTTTGAAAACTGCATAAATATAGGAAAACCAACTTTTTTACCAACTATCATAATAAACAGCGCTTTAAACACTATAATACAGCAACTTACCAGTAATGTTTACCGTCTATAAAATATATATTCACTTCGGCTCTTTCATTTTCCACCAGATAGCGCCTTATCGCACACACAATCTGATATATCGTTTTTCGGATCCCCAACCTTGTCAGCCGAGCGACAATACTGTGCACAATACTGTGCTCAACACTTTCTGGTTCTCGAAACCGCTTTTTCTTATATTATAAGAAGATACCATGCTCTTTTGCCAACAAAATTAATCTATTCACGACGAAAGCGAACTGAATGCTTCGTTGCACTTCATGCAAACTTTCAAGCGAATGTAATCGTTAATGCCCACACTCACTTTTTTGAATATCTAATAATTTCATGCCTCATTGCTATGAAAGTCTAATGATGTGTGAGAAGCAATTTCAAATCCTCGTTAGTGTTTTAAACTTGGCTTCCAAATCCCCAGTGCCCTGAACAATGGCTCGGCTGCGCCTCGCCATTGTTCATGGCACTTGTATTTAGAAACCACGTCTAAAACACTAACTCGGATTTGAAATATTACTTCTTATCCAACCATTAATTTAAAGCAATTAGAGCTGTCAAATTACTACAATACGTTATAGCTAATTTGAATTTGAAAGGTTCAGTTTTTTTTATACACCCTGTAGATATATAACACCGTTATCATATTATTATACATTGTAGTCGCTGCATGCGTTTTGTTTGGTTAACAGCTTACAGCTAAATATGGCAATCACGCAACCTACACATAACTCAGTTATCCATGTGTAAGTTGAGCCAGCGGTATGTAATTTTATAGCAAGCGGCAATTTAAATACATGTATTCTTAATGTTTTAATATTTTAATGTTTTAATAATGTGTCACTCAGTGATACGTGCGAACCCAAGCCATAACCGTTTTCTTTCAGATGAAACGATGTATATTGGTGAAGAAGACAACAGGGGCATTGCTATCTGTCCACTCAAGGAGAAAGTTCCGCCACAGCACGCTATGCTGAAAGCAAAACCACCACAACAACCAACAGCCAAGGTTTTCTTCATTCCTACACCTCATGCTACAAAAGACAAGAAGAAGTCTCCAAACATCGTGTTGATCATAACATCTATTACAGCAGGGATACTTGTGACTTGCGTTACCCTAGCAAGTGCTGTAAAGTACTTGCTTAAAAATAACAGGTATAGTAAGTAGCTACTTCTATGCTTTTCATATCCCAGTTCCACATTTTCTGTCATTCATTGCCTTCCTGGGTCTGCTCATAGTCTGCTGCAATTCCGATGTGTTATATTATACAAATAATGAATTATGTTTATGAGTGCAATGCTAAACATATTTTCATCTTTCTCCAAATGAAAATATTTTTACTATTCTACGAATGAAAAGATTCATCATTTGTTTTGTACCACACAAAATAAATTAATGTTATAGTAATAATATACAAAACAAATTAATTGTCGTAAAAATGTAAGCAATTTCATTCCATTCGATCTAGTCCATTTCATTCCATTTCATTCTATGCTATTCCATTCTACCTTGTGTTCTGTTCTAATCTACTGTGGTATAGTCTATTCCATTTAATCCCATTCCCTGTTGGTTCTGTTCTATGTTCTATAGCAAAAACAAAAAAATATTTGTAGCCAATTTCAAATATGGTCACGACTTCATAGGTATATAACATGTAATAACTAGAATAGTCATATATGGTAAAAGATATCCATTCTATCACATATATTCCGTTCGGTTCGCGTCAGATCAGTTAAGTTCTGGTAAAGACAGAATTTAAAGATACTTTGGTATTTTGTAGTGAAGACATTTAAACCTAGTAATCGTCCGATGGTGACACCGTGAATTATTGGCTTTCTTCTTCTAAGAGGAAATTTTTGCTATGAAATAATATATATCCAAACCTAAATATTTTGACACACTACTTAAGATGGCCTTGGTTTGGCATTATTGTTGACCTTTTATCAGTAAAGTCATACTGGGCGTATATTTACGGCAAAAAAGCAAAACTACCCCTAGTTAAATTAAAAAAATGTTCGACCTGTTTATCAGGATTATAAATCACTTTTAAGAAAAGCAACTTTGCATTTGATGATGAATGGAGCTGTATGTGTTCTTACTGATCTTACACCTTTTAGATGGCGCAACTACAGAGATACCTTACTGGATTTCATCGAAAGGAAACCGCTTAAGAAAGAGCCAAGTACATTTGAAGCAAAGATCAAGAAACAACGCAGAGCATCGTGTGGATACGCACCAAGCGACGCTTCCTCGGATGAAGAGCCCAGTACTCCGCGCAAAAAGAAAGGAAAAGATGGATATACCGCTGTCCCAACTACTGAGCCTCCTGACCTGGAAGATATATCTTTAGGTGATTCTGGATAACAATCAAGGAACATTGCTCCGTTGATCAGATGTAATAATGCAGTATATTTTTCTCCTGTATATTTTCAGCAGTTTTTCTCTATCCGACATTCTAAATCGACATCCAAATGTAATAAAAGTAAATTAAGATAGTGATAAATTGTATGGAGTGTTATGTTGCCATTCGGTCGAGTTATCTACGATCTGATCTCTTCGGACTAATAAAATTATATTGCTTCAAGACCAATATGTTGAAGGATTTTGTAGATGAGAATTTCGACTGTAAATTTTATACATTTTTAGACCATCTGGCAGGAATGGAACCTGCTTGCCCTGCGCGATTCCGGTGCAGCGCTCTATAGCCATCTCATTCTCCTCCCCAGAGCCATTTTCGCTTGGTCACTCCCAATCTCGTACCCAGAGCAATGCCTGTGCGCGGGCTATGAAGGCATTGGCTCTGGGGAAATTGATACCGGAACCCCTAAATTTAGGGGTTCCGGTTCTTTGTCGGCATGCACGATTGACAATCGTTAAACCAATCACAGCACAGGAAAAATTCAATTTCCCCAGAGCCAATGCCATCCTAGCCCGCGCACAGGCATTGCTCTGGGTACGAGATTGGGTCACTCCTTGAAAATTAGGCTCTGTGTTAGACGACCAAAGGGAGAAAAATTCGAGTTCTGGAAAATTCGAGTGTAAATTGTTATATATTTTTAGACCAAACCAAGTTGCTTTTCGCAGCTGCTTCTGGTTTGGTCTAAAAATGTATAAAATTCCATCTACAAAAATCCGTCAATATTCAGTTCTACCGAGCGAGATGCCCAACTCCTAATATTTGCCCATTTTCCTTCAAGAGCAATACATGTAAAATGTACTGTTTATTATTTCAAAGATTCGTCAAGGCCACGAGCACTAGAAGTACTGTTTAATAAACGAGCAGGAGTGTTTTATTAGGTTTAAAGACACGAGCGCGCACGGCTTCAAACACGACTACAAATTCAATAGATACACTGCTTTATTAGTATTCTTTATATAAAAAATACTAATGAGGACACGACTACAATAGATACTGCCTTATTAGTATTCTTTATATAAAGAATACTAATTAGGAGCGTTTTATCAGGTTTAAAACCACTGCACGTGACATATTATGGTTGACATGATTTGCCAATAAGCTTATGAATTATTAATGAGTGTTTGAAGCTCATTTCATGCAATGAAAAGCAGAGCTCCTTCAGGGTGTTTAAACCACGCGAAATGCCTAATGCGTGCCCATGCATGCCTGTACATCTTTGGAGAGCGTCAAGTTCGAGGCACCACTTTCCTTGTGATAGTAACGCCTAGTTTTAGTCGCAAATGTTCAAAACTGGTGCTTTCGTATTATGACGAAAATCAAGTCAACGATTCATTTGAAGATTTTAATTTGGTCATTTCGCTCGATAGAGCTGAATATCGAATGGTCTTTGTAAATGGAAATTACACGGCCAGACCGGTGAAATTGTTGAAAAGAAAACAAAACGTTTGGGCTTCGAACCTATCTGACCGGAAAATTCAGATAAAATTAGAATGAGGTCCATTTTTGCTAGATATTTGAGAAACATAGGCCAAATCGTTCCATTGATACAGAGACAAAAATTGGGGTCTGACCGGTCAGGCCATTAAATGGAAAGCGCCCCAATAATTCTAATTTACGTTGCGGTTAAATTTGAACTTACAGTTAATTTTGGATATCAAAATATTTCCAAGTATTGTTTGAAAGTGTTTTCTTAAAATACCAACTGAGTGTCTGAGATCTAGAAAGTATCCCGGGCCATGGAAAAATGGATCAAATTAGTTTTTCCCGATTTTTCATAATAGGAATTTACATTATACTAAGATAAAATTATAATCTACATTTGATTTGAATGTTTACATGTATTGTTCGAAGCTGTTACTCTAAAGTTACTTCAAATGCAACTTAGTATCGTTAGAACTATATATAATATACCATTGAATTAGATTTTGTCCACGCACGCTTGTATGCTGTACATTGTCGATTTCTAGAAAATCCTTAGAAAATCGCTCGCATCGGTTTCGCGGCCACATTTTGACGTCATATTAATGCCGTATTTTTCACTCTGAAATAGACTTGCCCCACGTCTCTCTCCCAGTGGAGTCGCACTATATTGCCACAGAATAGAGACTACACAGAAAGCAGACTTCTTGGATTCGCCTATGATTTTAGGCGTAACCGTTGCAATTTCCTAGCCAGTGCGCTTGCGATGGGCATTCATCCCAGTGAAAATATTCAAAATGTCGGACGTTGAGGGGGTGGGTGTCTCTCATAAGCACACTGGCTAGGAGCATGACGAGTGCATTTTGATTTCGAATCGTTCCGAATGATGGCGTGCCGGCGGTTACGCTTTTTTGGCTGAGTCGACTTTCTGTTTGGTCTCGATTCTGTGATATTGCATGCAACGTCATGTACAACGCCATGTTTATGCGTAATATAGTGGGACTGCACAGAGATATGACATGCTTATTTTTGAAGATTCTATAATGCTGAATTATAGAACATGTCGTAAAACTAACGTGAATGCAAGTCATGTATGTCATGTACTGTACACTGTACAACCCGCTGTTAGATTGCACAGTACACGTGGCATACCCATAGATATCTTATATACACTAGATAGCGCATCTAATTATTCTGCAATTCAAAAATTGAAGCCGTGATTGCAGACTCAGGATATTCCCATGAAATGAGAAGACTCGTATGTTTTCTATTTCTTAAACAGAGAACTTAAACATTAAGTTAAACCTATTCCAAATACATTTTCAAACTGTTCAAATGATGAAAATTGTTGTTTTTAAGCGGTTATTAGCGAGTGGGAAACTCCAACATGGCCGCCATCAATTCAAATGAGGGTATAACCGCTAGAATATTCTTGGCTTCAATTTTACTTAAAGAGATGCGCTATCTAGCGTATATAAGATATCTATGGGCATATCCAAATCATCAACCAAATAATTCGTGTCACTGATTATAAAAGAAACTACCTGAAAAAGATAGAGCGTGAAACGTTTCCAGCAAAGGTTAGTGACTATACAGTATATTGAACTTTGAAATCACTCAAATTTATGAGCAAATTGACTCATTTTTTGAGTAAAGTAAATTTGAATAAATGTGAAATTTTACTCAAATATTGAGTACATTTACTCATGAAACCTTTTGTTGGAATTTGCATGCTCTACGTTTTTCAGCAACTGTAGTTCCTTGAAGCAAACCATCCACATTCAAACATTTTAAATCTACAAGATGCTAGCGATTGTCTACGGATTTTCGGAAAAGCACAAAGACGCCATTCTTGCCAGACGCCATTCTTGTCTCTTGCCTGAGCCAACGAGATTGAGTTTGACAAAATCGACAAGATTTGCTT